GCCGCCCCCTTTCTAGCCACGGCCCGGCCACGCCTGTTGTGCGGCCCCGTTTCTAGCCACGGCCCGGCCCCCCTCAGTCACCACACAAGGGCAGGTTGTGTGGCCGGCCATGGTCTGCAATGGGGCCAGTTCCCCGGGTGCTTTGGCACAGAGTGGGTGCAGTGACCGGAGGGGGAGGGCTAGCTCGGTGGATGGCACAAAGCGCCCAGGGGTGGCTGGGGCGGTACCAGCCCCCACTCCTCAGCGGAGGGACTGTGACCAGCTGTGGCTCTGGGGATGCAATTGGTCACCTATTAACTGGAGAGCGGGGACCTGTCAAAGTCCAGCCTGGCCTCAGGGGAATCTGTCCAGCTGAAAACCAGGAGCCTGCTGACAGCCCTGCTCCCCCCGGCACTGATCACACGTGGACAGGCTGTGCCCGGGGAGCGCCCCCTCCTGACCACGGGCTCGTTGGAGAGGAGGGGAGACAGAAGCTTCGCTGCGTGGTCAGAGACCAAAAGGCCAGGAGGCGCCGTCGGGATCATCTGCCCTGGTCTCTGGTGCAGGCGAGACAGTTCGACCCGACCCGGGATCCCGGCATGGGGGCTCCGGCACTGATCACACGTGGACAGGCTGTGCCCGGGGAGCGCCCCCTCCTGACCACGGGCTCGTTGGAGAGGAGGGGAGACAGAAGCTTCGCTGCGTGGTCAGAGACCAAAAGGCCAGGAGGCGCCGTCGGGATCATCTGCCCTGGTCTCTGGTGCAGGCGAGACAGTTCGACCCGACCCGGGATCCCGGCATGGGGGCTGGTCGGGTTACAGCCCAGCCGGATCTCCCTGGGAACTGCAGCCGTCCTGGAGCATCCCGTACGGGGACTCACTCGCTCTGCAGCCCGTCACTCGCTCTGCAGCCCGTCACTCGCTCTGCAGCCCGTCACTCGCTCTGCAGCCCGTCACTCGCTCTGCAGCCCGTCACTCGCTCTGCAGCCCGTCACTCGCTCTGCAGCCCGTCACTCGCTCTGCAGCCCGTCACTCGCTCTGCAGCCCGTCACTCGCTCTGCAGCCCGTCACTCGCTCTGCAGCCCGTCACTCGCTCTGCAGCCCGTCACTCGCTCTGCAGCCCGTCACTCGCTCTGCAGCCCGTCACTCGCTCTGCAGCCCGTCACTCGCTCTGCAGCCCGTCACTCGCTCTGCAGCCCGTCACTCGCTCTGCAGCCCGTCACTCGCTCTGCAGCCCGTCACTCGCTCTGCAGCCCGTCACTCGCTCTGCAGCCCGTCACTCGCTCTGCAGCCCGTCACTCGCTCTGCAGCCCGTCACTCGCTCTGCAGCCCGTCACTCGCTCTGCAGCCCGTCACTCGCTCTGCAGCCCGTCACTCGCTCTGCAGCCCGTCACTCGCTCTGCAGCCCGTCACTCGCTCTGCAGCCCGTCACTCGCTCTGCAGCCCGTCACTCGCTCTGCAGCCCGTCACTCGCTCTGCAGCCCGTCACTCGCTCTGCAGCCCGTCACTCGCTCTGCAGCCCGTCACTCGCTCTGCAGCCCGTCACTCGCTCTGCAGCCCGTCACTCGCTCTGCAGCCCGTCACTCGCTCTGCAGCCCGTCACTCGCTCTGCAGCCCGTCACTCGCTCTGCAGCCCGTCACTCGCTCTGCAGCCCGTCACTCGCTCTGCAGCCCGTCACTCGCTCTGCAGCCCGTCACTCGCTCTGCAGCCCGTCACTCGCTCTGCAGCCCGTCACTCGCTCTGCAGCCCGTCACTCGCTCTGCAGCCCGTCACTCGCTCTGCAGCCCGTCACTCGCTCTGCAGCCCGTCACTCGCTCTGCAGCCCGTCACTCGCTCTGCAGCCCGTCACTCGCTCTGCAGCCCGTCACTCGCTCTGCAGCCCGTCACTCGCTCTGCAGCCCGTCACTCGCTCTGCAGCCCGTCACTCGCTCTGCAGCCCGTCACTCGCTCTGCAGCCCGTCACTCGCTCTGCTCTCGTTTACCTGCCCTGCAACTGGGCTCAGCTGACCTGGGCTGATTCACGGGCTTCTCCAGTGTCTACACCAGGCTTTGCACAAGGGGGTTACCCTGGCCCAGCGCTCAGCGTCATTCCCCCACTGCCGAGCGTCCCCGTGTGCACAAGGACGCGTGCAGCTCTGCAAAGGCACACGGCTCCCACTGAAAGCAAAAAAGAGCTAAAGGTCTTTGGGGACCTTAGGCACATACCCAGGCCTGCCCTGTGACGTCCCTCCTGCAGGTCCTCCCCACTGCAGCAAGCCCTCGCTCACCGGGCCTGCCTTCCCAACACTTCCCTGCTTTCTGGGAGCTCCCAGACGGTCCAAGGGAGGGGGTCATGTTTCCCATAAGCTCTCAGGCCTGCCATGGGCCCAGGCGGGGAGGGGGGGAAGGGGCGCAGGGCCAGACTGCAGCGTAGCAATGAGAGCCCGGGTGAGCGGTCAGTTACGCAGGGTCGGTGCCAACGCTCTGGGCCTGGGCGCAGCAAGGTGCCGAGAGGCAACGTGTCCGTAGGACGGCTTGGACCTGGCCATGGTGCCCGCTTTCCTGAGAGCCACCCCCCCGCGGCGTGGTGGCGGGGTTCGGGGAGCAAGCCGGGGGGACGCCGTACCCAGTCTCCTGGAGATGTCTGTCGCGCGCTCCCCCCAGATTCCATTCACCGCCATCAGCACCACCTCCCCGGCCTCCACCGCGTTCAGCAGCGCAGCCTCCATGGCGCAGTGGCCCGGCCCGCTGATGGCCAGCGTCAGGGGGTTCTGGGTCTGGAAGGCGTACTGGATCCCCAGCTTGATGTCGTCCATGATCTGCGGAGAGCGCGAAGAGCCGGGGTAAAGCAGCTCCCCACAGCTGG